CCTTGTTGCCTCAGTGGAAAACTGAGAAGAGAGCGGATAGCAAATCCTTTTGATCAAGGATACGGGTTTGTTTGCTTTGGCTGCCTCGCAGAATACCGACGCTGTGACTCTTCCTGCCCTCTGATCAAACCATACCCTACTTTTACTCTGCTCCCTGGTCTCCTCCTCAACTACCAAACACTGGAAACGTTAGTTTGTTCATTAGTTAGTTGACTTGTCATGAATTTCAACTTCACAGGCAGAAATAATTTTACTAGTGATTACTTTGATTTTCAACTGAAGAGATTGACAAATGGAAATATTAACACCAACCTGTTTTTATAATATTTACCTGTTACTATGTCAGATGTAGGTTATCAAAGACCTTGGAAGTCTCAACCAGTAGTGTGGGCAGGTCTACCTCTAGCCAGGTGCTTGAATATAAGGTTGACAAAGGAGTGGGCAAGTCCAGCTGCATCACCTTTGGCGTGTACCTACAGTGGTGGAAGATGTGCCCAGATATTTGACTTAAGCAAAAATATGCTGTGACGTGAAACTTCTGCAGTAAAATGTATACTTAGACTAATGAATAAAAAGTATAAGCCTCAATATACTTCATTAAAGTATACGTCATGGTTTTGGATGTATTTAATTCCATTTCACCACTGTGTACATGTGGGAGTGGCCCTCAATGACAGAAAGGATGGCACTTTTCTTTGGCTTAGACTCTTGCTTCTCACTCTGATGAAGCATCTCAAAAAACATCCTGCATTTTCATCTGATGGTCTAATATCAGGAAAACCGGCCTTGAACATGACGGGGCTCTCGGTTATGACAGAAATTGATGTTTTGGATCTCTGCATATTGGACATCTCTGACAGACGCCGTGCTTGGCTGTGCCCATGCACAGGGCGTCTGGGTGCAAGCCTGCCCATCCCTGATATCAACAGCAGCCAACACACAATACAGCAGAGCTGATGCATGTGAGCATACCTCTCCTAAACCTGCCTTACAGGTACAATGAGCCATTAAAACAGTCCCATCATCCTGTACTGTGATCCAGGGGTGTGTTGGGGTTACACTGAGGCTTTGTGAATTCTTCACCTGCAAATTTTAACCAGAAGTTCACAAACTACATGTTAGCTCGCTAGATTAAAACATGTAGTTTAAAATGGGGACATGATGTTATTCTAGACATCTAGCAAAAGCTATATTTACAGTAGTGGTTGATTTATGTTATGTTGCTATTTTTCTTGAGTAACGTTAATGTTAATATCACTTGAATAAAACACTGCCACTTACCCTTCCTGTGATCAAGAACATTTTCTTCATCTCCAGATGATGAATTTTGGGATCATTAACCCATCCTGAGGTGAAGTAGCGGTAGGCTTCGGTGCTTTTAAACGCCTTGAGGGATGGATTGTGGACGAGGTAAATGTAAATATCAGCAAACATCAAATTTGGCAGGTTTTTGCTAGACTTTAGTGGAGTCAGCAGTTCACTGGACAGTAGATATGGATCGAAACCTAACGTATCAACCTTCTTCAAATACCGTTGCTTTTCAGCGGTGGTGAGGTGTGCTATTTTAGTGTGCGACATCATTCATTCTAACGAAGGAGGGGCTGCGCAGCGGTCCTAAAGATGGCGTCCTACCAGATACCTAAACACACCCTACATAAGCGATGTTTGATGTACAGAGAGACAGAGTGGCCATCGGGCTGGGTCACTCTCCAAGCTGCTGCAGAGCTTGTAATTGATGCTGAACTCCTTGATGTAATAAACTTTTATGATCAAGAACAGTGTCAAGCGGATTTCTTCTCAACACATCATCGCAGCATTATCGTTCGGACACCACAGCAGTCTAAACTACAATTCGTGCTTGATGACCAGCGGTGTCAAGCACATTAACTCAGAGTGTGCACGTTCAGTCAGTCAGTGTCGTCCCTCAGACAGCATCACGACCCAGAAGGTTATCCGTGACTTACGGTTCACGTGTCATTCACGAGTTAAACATTTGCATAAGTGGCTCGAAACGGTTGCCTAAACAATCTTACCTGCTGATCCCACAGCTGTTCACAACTCCTCCCTTGACAAGGAGAGTGCATTTTAAACTGGCATAACACAGATCTCAAATCATGCTTCAAAAAGCTTTAACGCTATAAGACGAGTTATTATTTTCCTTTAGTTTTATAATATTAGACAAACTGTCAGAGGTTTGTAGATCAGTGTCTGAAGCGTCTGTCTGTATAAAGTGTAGGGGTAGAAGATAGTAAAGGGATCTGTTTTTTGGACTTATGGTCGGCCACATTAATCAGTATATGTTCATATAGTTTGTTTTCAATTCTGTTAATTTGTAATGTACTTCTACCTTCATGTTGTGTCAACCGTGTCAGATGGAGGTCAGAGGGATGTTTGCAGGAAAACAGGGGAACCAGGCTAAGCATGTGTTTGGAAATGAATATTTGGTGAGTGGACAGTGTTTGATACAAGTGAATTTAAAATGCAGTTAATTAATATACTGAAGGAAATTTAAGAGCCATCAGACAAGTTTGATCCTCTGCTTGCTGTTTTCAGTCAGCTGTGGTTTGTGGGTCCACAAGTCGTGTGTGTGTGTGTGTGTTTGTGTGTGTGTGTCCTCAGTGAACTGTATCAGTCTCTGCAGTAGCTTCCAGCTGCAGCAGTCAGTTCAGTTTCTGTTCAGTCTGACTGAGGGAGGTTTTTGTACGACGCTTTTTCACTGTGTGAACACAGCTTGACTGTTGATATAATGATAACTCAGACAGTAGTAAACTGCTGCATCTTCAGCCTGAACTCCACTGATGGTCAGAGTGAAGTCAACTCCATTCCCTGCTCCACTTCCACTGAATCTGGAGGAGATTCCAGAATATCTGTCTGATGTATAGTAGATCAGAAGTTTAGGAGCTTCTCCAGTTTTCTGATGGTACCAGGCCAGGTGGTATTGTGAACCAGAGTACTGAGCAACCTTTGGACTGGCCTTACAGTCAATAGTGACAGTCTGACCCAGCTGCACTGATTTGGCTGCTGGCTGAGTCACGACAACATTTTGTCCAACAGACCCTGAGGAGAGAGAAGAAACACTGGACATGAGATGGTGAGGTGAAACTCAGCTACACTCCAAATGATTTTCACATCACAGAAAAATGATTTTCCTCACCCTGAGTGAAGCAGAGGAGAGTCCAGATGAGGACGGAGACCAAAGTCATGTTTTTGATGAGGAGGATTTCTGTGGCTTCTGTTGTCATGAAGGACAGCTGTCAGTCATCCAGTGTTCAACTCTCAGGACTATAAAGTCTCCCAGAGCACTGGAGCATGGTGCTGCTGATGCAAAGTGGCTCTCTATGGAAATGCTCTGACTGACTCCAACAGGGACTTGGATTACTCTGATGATGCTGCTTCTCAATGGATCAATACGTTTACCAGAGGATTGATTAGGAATGTGTCAGTGATCATTTTTATGGACATTTGCTTTGATGACTGCAGAAAGATTTTCTTTTACAACATCTTCTGTCTGCTTTCATTTCATTCTAGAGGGATCAATTTGACTTTCACACCAATGGAACAATATTTACGTAAAAATGGGATTCATTCTGAACAACTGTGTCACTGTTTGATAAATATAACATGAAATAGTTCATTCTTTTAAAAACAGCAAGTGTTTTTGTTGAGTTTGTTGTGTTCAAAGTCAGAGAGCCGTGTCTCTCTACAGTGAGAGGTTTTTGTACGACGACTCAATCAGTTTGTATCACTGTGGTTGACTTTTGGTGGAGGAACCAGACTGGATGTTGGAAGTAAGTTTCTGCACAAATATTAAATATCGTATCATCAGCAAAGGTTTTAATTTCTGTGTCTGAACATTTGTAGTAGATATAAATTTCCTCTGGACTGATCTAAATCACTTTAAAGACTCAATCTTATTGTTCGTTTCTCCTGTTTAACCATGAAGCTGAACTCAAAGCAGCTTTACTGAACTTCTCTTTAAACGTTCCATTTAATTTGTGAAATGTGAACAGCTTGAACTGCAGCAAAGATTAAAGAACAACACTCGTACTTTAAAAATCATTCAGCCTTTAATTCTGCATTTTAAACTGTTTAGAAGTTGAGTTAAAATTATTTTGAATAGTGTGAATGAAGATAAAAATGTTTCCAAATCTCTGATCTTCTAAAATGGCTCAAATTGTCTTTTAACCTCAGTTTGAAATAATGTTGACAGTTCTCTGATGCTGTTTTTAAATCTGTCTGAGGAACAGGTCACCTGTGGTTGTCTCTTATTTTGGGCTGATAATGTCCTTTAACAGTGGATCTCAGTAACTTTTGCCCTTTTGAGAGTTTTGACAGTAAATATGTTTTTTGTATTTCCAAATTTAAAACCTGGTTGTTTTATTTCCAGTGCAGTTTGATATCTTTCAGCTCATATGAGGACTCTTTCTGTGCTGATATGCATGAGAGGTTTCTTAAAGGAAGTGAAACAACGTGTGAGTGAGTGACTGGTGGAGCAGAAACCAGCTGTGTGGTCCCCGTCCTCTAAGCCGATTGGTTCTTCTCCTAGGTGATGCCCGTCCCACCCTGACGGTGCTGCCCCCCTCCAGCGAGGAGCTGCAGCAGGGGAAGGCCACGCTCATGTGCCTGGCCAACAAGGGCTTCCCCTCAGACTGGAGTCTGGCCTGGAAGGTGGACGGCAGCAGCAGCAGCAGCAGCAGCAGCAGCAGCAGCAGCAGCAGCAGCAGCAGCAGCAGCTGGGAGGAGAGCAGGAGCCCCGGGGTGCTGCAGAAGGACGGCCACTACAGCTGGAGCAGCACCCTGAGGCTCTCTGCAGACCAGTGGAGGAAGGTGGGCTCTGTGACCTGTGAGGCCACCCAGGGCTCCCAGACTCCGCTCTCAGAGACACTGAGGAGAGACCAGTGTTCCCAGTCCTGACCTGACTCACTGGGACTCTGCTACTGGTTTTCCTCTGCTCCTGCTCTCACTCTGCACTCTGGAACTGTCTCTCTCTTTTATTTGACATCTTTCAACAGCAAGATTTACTAGCTTGTTGCACTGTTTCAATATTATTTCAGTGTTTCCAGATAATAAAGACCTTTTCATCCAATCAGCTGTTTTCATGTTTATTATCATCAAAGTGTCTTAATAAATGTTCTCTTGATGGTGTCAGTGACTGTTTTACATCCAGAGAACAACAGTTTAACGTCATAATATATTTCTAAAGATACAGAATATTCAGAGTTAACAAACTCAGACAAAACTCCTCATTATGTTTTGGTTACTACAAAACAGTGATGGTAGAAGAAGTCCATCATTTTTCATTCATTATGAATGCGTTGATGAATACTGTCGTCATTCCAGATTACTCTGCAGTAATAAACCTTTGGAACAAACCCATGGTAGGTACATTTGAAAATCTGGCTTAAGGTTAATAACTTTAATATTTTTATTGCGTAGGTGAATCCAAATATTTTACATAAATAAACTAAAAAGCACCACATTAGTGTAATCTGCTATTCTAACCAGGAGCTATTTACATACTGATTCTGCTGAAGAACCACAAAGAAAAATAAAAGATGAGAAAAGGAATTCAAATGTTACTGATTTACTTTCTCCATAAACCCTTTTAGATATCAATCATTAAATGCATTTTTGTTTTGGAAAACAAAACACACAGAATAACTGAAATTTGTCAGACATTATTATTAATTTGACAACATGAACAAATTTAGATGTTGAGATTAAATGTATTTTATATCAGCAATGTGTTTGATCAAGTTTGTATGAAAAAATGTAAGAAAAGTAATATGTACAAATGTGTTTATTTTAGTTCATAGATTAAATTTATCAAAGTTATTGATGTAATTTAAACGACTGCATTGATGAATGAAACCCTGTTTTAAAAGAATATTAAAAGTATATGTTTGGATTAAATACTAAATATTTTCTTACAATGTTCAAAATGAATTGATTTGAACTTTTTTTTATAAACCTCTGTTTTAGTTTCAGTGCAGCTGTTGAGTCAGATCAGTTCCTCTCCAGCTGAGGGAGGTTTTTGTACGACGTTGTATCACTGTGTGAACGGTCTGCTGTAACCCTGCTGACAGTAGTAAACTCCTGAATCTTCAGCCTGAACTCCACTGATGGTCAGAGTGAAGTCAGTCCCAGATCCACTTCCACTAAAACGATCTGGAACTCCAGACAGACGGGTTGTAGCTGCATAAATCAGGAGTTTAGGAGCTTCTCCAGGTTTCTGAAGGTACCAGCTGAGCCAGCTGGAACCATAACTATAAACACCTGTACTGGTTTTACATTTGAGAGAGACAGCCTGTCCTGGAACAACAGACTGAGATCCAGGAGACTGAGTCAGGATGATTTGTCCTGATGAACCTGGAAAAGATGAAAAAGAGGAGAAGGGTTATTGAGACAAATCCAGCTTGGAGAAAGATGATCAGCATCCAAACAGAAGAGTCTCATTTCTTTAAGATGGAGAACAGATGGAAGAAGGTAAATGCTGCTTGTTTCAGTGTTTCTCCATCACAGCAGAACATCATTGTGGTGAAGCTGGTTGCATCCTGAAGCAAAGTTTTCAGAAGAGAGTCTCACCCTGAACAAGGAGCCCCAGGGTGGCCAGCAGTAGAATCAGTGACATCATCATTGTGCTGCCGGCGTGTCAGTGGCTCTGAAAGGCCTGGACAGCCACTGATCAACACTGGCCTCTTAACGGCTGGGAGCAGAGAGGCAGGACAGATATGCAAACACACAGAGTCAGTGAACTGTAGCTGTCCTCAACATATCATGCTGTTTCCTCCTCACTGCTGGGACAGCTGCCTCACAAACAGGCTATATTTGTGTCAGAACATGAAAGAACTCTTCTTTTTCCACATTGTTGGGCTGCATCCATACAAACGGATACCAAGTGATACCTCAGCTTTTAATTTTGTAAATATTTTGTAGTTTGATGTAGACGTGCTGATGTAATCAATTGTAGAGCTTGTTTTGTTGAATCGGTTCGACTTTCTGTATTGACACATACTGAGTATTACCTGAAGAAGACTCAATAAAAAATTTAAAAACATTAAATCAATTTGCCTTTTTCTTGATGCCAGTAGGCTAAGATAGTGGAGTATACAGTATATACACTTCTTGTTGTCTTCTGTTGAAAAATAAATACTTTTTAAGTAGGGCTGTCAAGAGATAAAATTTTTTTTTTACCACAATCAATCAAATTTATTTAATTTCATAATTTGTTGAAATTTTAACTCACTGACAAATGTTTAAGTGTAAGGAGTGTGCTTGCTTTATTTTCAATGTTCCACTGCTACATCCAGAAAATGTTCAGTATGATGTCTCTCCTCGGTTTCAAGATGGTCAAAGCCTGTGAATGCTGTTTAAATTTTTCAACAATATAATGGGCAGTAACCCCGAGATAACTGTCCTTCCCTCGTGATGCCCAGCGGTCACCAGTAAAGCCTAGTTCTCACTACACAATTTTAAGCCCGAGTTGCCCGTCTGAGAGCTCGGCGACCGTCAGTCTGTGATCAGGGGTAAATCAGTGATCGATCGGTGGTCGCCTGTCGTTATGTGTGAACTATTTAACGCTGCATCAAAACGGTGACACATCGCAGACGCCAGCCAGATATCTAGCATGCCAAATATCTGGAGGAGTCGGCCGACTCGACATCCACATCCAGCCGATGAGAGCAGGCAGCTACTTTTTCAATGCAAAACACTTTTTACTCCCCTCCAGCTCTCTCTGTAGCTCAGACCTGCTACCTGCGTGTACAGCAAACAAATACAGCCAAGTCAAGGGACAGCATGTGTGGGCTGATAGTCCTGATACTAATCATTTTAATTCTTAAGTGGAACGCGAGAAGCTTGATAGCTAATGGGCAAGATTTCAAACAGTTTATAGTTAGTAACCGAACTTGGATGTTGTTCTACATGGTTATGTAACAGTGAGGCGAGACAGGATGGAGGGGTCAGGTGGGGGATGTGTCACTTTTATAAAGCAGGGCATTCCTTTCAGGATTTTAGGGATAGGAAGAGAACAAGAGTACGTGGTAGTGAAAGTGTGGGCTGAAGAGAAAGAAGTAGCGATTGTGAATTATTATAATCCGTGCAAAAAACTTACAGTTAACTTACAGAGTTAATGAAGCTGGAAGAGATAGAAGGGCAGAACAGTAGTAATGTTGTTTGGTGTGGAGATTTTAATGGACATAACACATTATGGGGTAGAACAGACACAAATGTTCACAAATGCACACTGACTTTACTTTACTGCCCCTCAGTGGTTGAGTTAGAGACTTCAGCCAGACTTCCTAACAACAGTTATTACCAGCAGTACTCAGAGCCGGTCCTGACCTCCCTTGGGCCCTATGCGAAATCCTGCCATGGGGCCCTTCTACCTGAATCATGAGCAATGTAAACAGTTTGCCATTGCTGCACAGTCACTAATGACACTGCAGTGCTCTCACTACAACCCTCCCTCCTTTAAAACAGTCTGTCTCTGTAATAAGCCTGAATGGAAACCAGTGCTGGTTTGAATGGACCTCTGCGCACAAACTCAGTCCTCTTACAGTCTCCCAAGACCGGGGGCCAATCTGCAGGGTCATTTGGTGGATGGCTGTACATCTGTGGCTGCTTGTACTGCCTGAGGCTGACTGTATATTTCACCTGGGTCTGTGTGTAAAGACATCTGGACTGGGTCTGTGCTAGTACCGGCTGACAATCCAGCATCTGTTCTACTGACAAACTTCAGCATCGACCCTGTAAATTATAGATAACGATAAATGTCATCAGCTACATCAGGCCCATTCAAACTGGCTCCCCGCATTTCCTTTATTATTGTCTTGTTTTAAAATGATGTGCGCCTCTGAGGAGTGCCAGCACATCCAGGTATTGTTTGAACTGGTCCTCATAGAGGTCTCTGCAGGAAGGCGCAAGTTTTCTTACGTGCATATAAACGCATGTTCACGCGTGGCGCGGTTTTCTTTTCCAAGCTGCAGTTTATAAACACCGTTGCATGTTGGCGTTTATCAAACGTTATGAATATTTGCCGGGCGCTGCCCTGCTGGGTCAGCAAGACAGACGGTCTAGAGAGATGCACTGCAGCCAACACATTAACTTACTGTGATCTGCTGACATCAGACTTTGAGAGGAGAGAACACCAGTTTACAGACTGCTGTTCCCACAATTCACTCTCCTTGATGTTTTCCTCTTCTTGTGCCCAGAAGGACATCGATTCCCTTTTCATCCATCCATCAAAACATTGACACTCGCTTTCACCTTTGACACGAGAGTAAGGCGGGGCCCTGCTTAATATGCGGGGCCCTACGTGACGTGCGTAGTGAGCGTTTAGGACGGGCCGGCTCTGGTAATACTAGAATTTGCACTATAGTTGTGAGCTAATACAAATCTCTAACTTTAAAATATTCCTGAAATTGTTTCTGATTTGCCTTTTTCTATTGGACCACCTCCTTTTAATTTAACTTACTGAATATGAAGCGCTGCCTGCATTGCCCCCCTGTATACCTAACCTTTCTATGTTTAATGATACAATTTTATCTGGCCATATATTTATTATTTTTGTTATCTTGTTTTGAATTAAGTTTAAACATTGTTTTCTTTACTTATTTTAACCTAAGTTCAGTTTTGAAGTACTTGTACTTTCCCTCTCAGAGAGAAATATTCTGCTATTTTATAGTTTTATACTTTATTGCTACTTCGCTGAACATTTTACATAAAAACATATGATGAGCTCATAATAAACAATGATTTGGCCTGTTTGTGGTCTGTGACCTGGTTGTTGGGCCCCGTGTTTCAGACGTCTGTGAGTTGTTAGCAGTTCCACAAAAGACATTTCGCCTCATAACTTCACACATGGTTTAATTTCAAAAACTGTTTGAGCCCTGAGGAGAACAGAAAAATCAAAGCTTTGTGTTCCACAACTTTGATTCTTCTTCTCTCATCTTCCATTAATCATCTCACGACCCCTCAGATTTATCTTGGGAGGCAAATATGGTTCTTTTAACTGTAGATTTATCTGAAAGTCACAGTTCATTTTCATTAGATTTTGTATGATTAACTGCACAAATTAAAATACCTTACACAGCATATTAACTTTTTAAACTTTGCTCCACTTCCACCAGTTGTGACACTAAAATGCTGCAGTAACAATATTTCAACACTCTGGAAGGAGCCATTCTGCCCAAATTAGTACTTTTGGATTAACTAGATTTAGCTGATGATGCTGGAGTGAACATTTAAAAACAGGACTTTTACTTGTACCAGAGGACTTTCAGGAGTAATATTAGTATTATTATTATTAAATATTATTTCAGTGTTGATGTTTTGACAGTTCTTCTTCACCTTGAACAATATTGACTGAGAGTATTTTGATTCTTGGAGGATAAAAACCCACATATACAGACGGGTGGTGCTGGACTCCACAATTTAAAGGGCTGTTTGAGGTTAGGACTTGTTTCTATGGTTAGTTGTCATAGTTAAGGTTAGGGTAAAGGGGCTAGAAAATGTATTATGTGAATGACTTGCCCCCAAGACCATAGTGCCATAACGGGGTGTTTGTGTGTGTGTGTGTGTGTGTGTGTGTGTGTGTGTCCTCAGTGAACTGTATCAGTCTCTGCAGTAGCTTCCAGCTGCAGCAGTCAGTTCAGTTTCTGTTCAGTCTGACTGAGGGAGGTTTTTGTACGACGCTTTTTTACTGTGTGAACACAGCTTGACTGTTGATAACATGATAACTCTGACAGTAGTAAACTGCTGCATCTTCAGCCTGAACTCCACTGATGGTCAGAGTGAAGTCAACTCCATTCCCTGCTCCACTTCCACTGAATCTGGTGGAGATTCCAGAATATCTGCTTGATGTTTCGTAGATCAGAAGTTTTGGAGCTTCTCCAGTTTTCTGATGGTACCAGGCCAGGAAATATTGTGAACCAGTGTAGTGACGAGCTGCTGGACTGGCCTTACAGTCAATAGAGACAGTCTGACCCAGTTGCACTGATTTGGCTGCTGGCTGAGTCAAGACAACATTTTGTCCAACAGACCCTGAGGAGAGAGAAGAAACACTGGACATGAGATGGTGAGGTGAAACTCAGCTACACTCCAAATGATTTTCACATCACAGAAAAATGATTTTCCTCACCCTGAGTGAAGCAGAGGAGAGTCCAGATGAGGACGGAGACCAAAGTCATGTTTTTGATGAGGAGGATTTCTGTGGCTTCTGTTGTCATGAAGGACAGCTGTCAGTCATCCAGTGTTCAACTCTCAGGACTATAAAGTCTCCCAGAGCACTGGAGCATGGTGCTGCTGATGCAAAGTGGCTCTCTATGGAAATGCTCTGACTGACTCCAACAGGGACTTGGATTACTCTGATGATGCTGCTTCTCAATGGATCAATACGTTTACCAGAGGATTGATTAGGAATGTGTCAGTGATCATTTTTATGGACATTTGCTTTGATGACTGCAGAAAGATTTTCTTTTACAACATCTTCTGTCTGCTTTCATTTCATTCTAGAGGGATCAATTTGACTTTCACACCAATGGAACAATATATACGTAAAAATGGGATTCATTCTGAACAACTGTGTCACTGTTTGATAAATATAACATGAAATAGTTCATTCTTTTAAAAACAGCAAGTGTTTTTGTTGAGTTTGTTGTGTTCAAAGTCAGAGAGCCGTGTCTCTCTACAGTGAGAGGTTTTTGTACGACGACTCAATCAGTTTGTATCACTGTGGTACACGTTCGGTGGAGGAACCAGACTGGAGTTTGGAAGTAAGTTTCTGCACAAATATTAAATATCGTATTATCAGCGAAGGTTTTAATTTCTGTGTCTGAACATTTGTAGTAGATATAAATTTCCTCTGGACTGATCTAAATCACTTTAAAGACTCAATCTTATTGTACGTTTCTCCTGTTTAACCATGAAGCTGAACTCAAAGCAGCTTTACTGAACTTCTCTTTAAACGTTCCATTTAATTTGTGAAATGTGAACAGCTTGAACTGCAGCAAAGATTAAAGAACAACACTCGTACTTTAAAAATGATTCAGCCTTTAATTCTGCATTTTAAACTGTTTAGAAGTTGAGTTAAAATTATTTTGAATAGTGTGAATGAAGATAAAAATGTTTCCAAATCTCTGATCTTCTAAAATGGCTCAAATTGTCTTTTAACCTCGGTTTGAAATAATGTTGACAGTTCTCTGATGCTGTTTTTAAATCTGTCTGAGGAACAGATTAGCTGTGGTCGTCAGGTATTTTGGGCTGATAATGTCCTTTAACAGTGGATCTCAGTAACTTTTGCACTTTTGAGAGTTTTGACAGTAAATATGTTTTTTGTATTTCCAAATTTAAAACCTGGTTGTTTTATTTCCAGTGCAGTTTGATATCTTTCAGCTCATATGAGGACTCTTTCTGTGCTGATATGCATGAGAGGTTTCTTAAAGGAAGTGAAACAATGTGTGAGCGAGTGACTGGTGGAGCAGAAACCAGCTGTGTGGTCCCCGTCCTCTAAGCCGATTGGTTCTTCTCCTAGGTGATGCCCGTCCCACCCTGACGGTGCTGCCCCCCTCCAGCGAGGAGCTGCAGCAGGGGAAGGCCACGCTCATGTGCCTGGCCAACAAGGGCTTCCCCTCAGACTGGAGTCTGGCCTGGAAGGTGGACGGCAGCAGCAGCAGCAGCAGCAGCTGGGAGGAGAGCAGGAGCCCCGGGGTGCTGCAGAAGGACGGCCACTACAGCTGGAGCAGCACCCTGAGGCTCTCTGCAGACCAGTGGAGGAAGGTGGGCTCTGTGACCTGTGAGGCCACCCAGGGCTCCCAGACTCCGCTCTCAGAGACACTGAGGAGAGACCAGTGTTCCCAGTCCTGACCTGACTCACTGGGACTCTGCTACTGGTTTTCCTCTGCTCCTGCTCTCACTCTGCACTCTGGAACTGTCTCTCTCTTTTATTTGACATCTTTCAACAGCAAGATTTACTAGCTTGTTGCACTGTTTCAATATTATTTCAGTGTTTCCAGATAATAAAGACCTTTTCATCCAATCAGCTGTTTTCATGTTTATTATCATCAAAGTGTCTTAATAAATGTTCTCTTGATGGTGTCAGTGACTGTGTTACATCCAGAGAACAACAGTTTAACGTCATAATATATTTCTAAAGTTACAGAATATTCAGAGTTTACAAACTCAGACAAAACTCCTCATTATGTTTTGGTTACTACAAAACAGTGATGGTAGAAGAAGTCCATCATTTTTCATTCATTATGAATGCGTTGATGAATACTGTCGTCATTCCAGATTACTCTGCAGTAATAAACCTTTGGAACAAACCCATGGTAGGTACATTTGAAAATCTGACTTAAGGTTAATAACTTTAATATTTTTATTGCGTAGGTGAATCCAAGAACATTATTATATGAAAAAATATTTTACCAAAACAAAAGCACCACATTAGTGTAATCTGCTATTCTAACCAGGAGCTATTTACACACTGATTCTGCTGAAGAACCAAAATAAAAGATGAGAAAAGGAAAGAATTCAAATGTTGCTGATTTACTTTCTCCATAAACCCTTTTAGATATCAATCATTAAATGCATTTTTGTTTTGGAAAACAAAACACACAGAATAACTGAAATATGTCATAGACATTATTTTTAATTTGACAACATGAACAAATTTAGATGTTGAGATTAAATGTATTTTATATCAGCAATGTGTTTGATCAAGTTTGTATGAAAAAATGTAAGAAAAGTAATATGTACAAATGTGTTTATTTTAGTTCATAGATTAAACTTATCAAAGTTATTGATGTAATTTAAACGACTGCATTGATGAATGAAACCCTGTTTTAAAAGAATATTAAAAGTATATGTTTGGATTAAATACTAAATATTTTCTTACAATGTTCAAAATGAATTGATTTGAACTTTTTTTTATAAACCTCTGTTTTAGTTTCAGTGCAGCTGTTGAGTCAGATCAGTTCCTCTCCAGCTGAGGGAGGTTTTTGTACGACGTTGTATCACTGTGTGAACGGGAAGCTGTGACTCTGCTGACAGTAGTAAACTCCTGAATCTTCAGCCTGAACTCCACTGATGGTCAGAGTGAAGTCAGTCCCAGATCCACTTCCACTAAAACGATCTGGAACTCCAGACTGACGAGTTGTAGCTGTATAAATCAGGAGTTTAGGAGCTTCTCCAGGTTTCTGAAGGTACCAGTGGAGCCAGCTGGACCCATAACTAGTAACACTTGTACTGGTTTTACATTTGAGAGAGACAGCCTGTCCTGGAACAACAGACTGAGATCCAGGAGACTGAGTCAGGATGATTTGTCCTGATGAACCTGGAAAAGATGAAAAAGAGGAGAAGGGTTATTGAGACAAATCCAGCTTGGAGAAAGATGATCAGCATCCAAACAGAAGAGTCTCATTTCTTTAAGATGGAGAACAGATGGAAGAAGGTAAATGCTGCTTGTTTCAGTGTTTCTCCATCACAGCAGAACATCATTGTGGTGAAGCTGGTTGCATCCTGAAGCAAAGTTTTCAGAAGAGAGTCTCACCCTGAACAAGGAGCCCCAGGGTGGCCAGCAGTAGAATCAGTGACATCATCATTGTGCTGCCGGCGTGTCAGTAGCTCTGAAAGGCCTGGACAGCCACTGATCAACACTGGCCTCTTAACGGCTGGGAGCAGAGAGGCAGGACAGATATGCAAACACACAGAGTCAGTGAACTGTAGCTGTCCTCAACATATCATGCTGTTTCCTCCTCACTGCTGGGACAGCTGCCTGTTTAAAACATCCTCATGCAGATTAACACAAACTAACAATAGAAGTTATAACTGACTTCTACACAAGATTCACCAGCAACTGACTACTACCTCTTCTTCTCGTCTTTTTCAGTTCTCCTGACATGTCTTTCTTTTTCATTTTCAAGTTTCTTGCTTCCCTCTGTTGCTGAAATATTGGACATTATTAGAAATTCAAAAACCAACTTCCTACCTTCTTAGTAAAAGCCTGCTTACCCTCTCTATCTTCCCAAATGAGTACCATTATACATTCCTCTCTCATCTCTGGTATTCTCTCATCTCTAAAATCAGCTGTTGTTCAAATTCACTGCCCTTTCGTTATGTTGGTGGCTAAAAACAGCCACTACTTTAAACTGCTGTAAAAATGTGTCAGATAAATATTTTTTAAAAATTCTTTTGCATAAATCTATTAATCAACTTCCGTCCTGATCAAAACTACTAAATGTAGTTCAAGCCTTCTCCGAAACAACAACAACAATGCATCAAAAACAATGTTGTTTCTAATATTTGACATGTCCAAGACTGTGATAAAAGGTAAAAAAAATCCAGTCCATAATTACATTTTATATTGAAAATAAGTCATTTTGTGTTGTTTTTTCCCCCAAATCATCATTTATAAATTTGGCAATTAAAGAGTTAAAATCCTGATATATATATATATATATTTTTTTTTTTTAAATAGTAGATTTGATAAGGACTGAGGTTGATTAATAGATTTATGCAAAAAAATTTTTTTTTAATATTTATCCGATACATTTTACAGCAGTTTAAAGTAGTGTCTGTTTTCAGCCACGAACATAACGAAAGGGTAGTTAATTTGCCCACAGTGTACTGTTGAGTTTTTGAAATTTTTCAAAGCATTTTCCCAAAATGTTTTTCAAAATAAGATTTGTCACCAAAAATCATTCCATTTGCTGAAACACAGAAAAAGTTATGGCCAAATTAAGACTGCCCCTGTGTTCCTGCTCGACACCGTCTGCTGCAACGACTATTGTTACTAGTCTTATTGTTATTATTGTTATTATAATCATTAACATTACGACTGTTACCATTAACACTACTATAAATATCTGTACCATTTTTCATTTAGTCTATAGCAACATCACCTTCACTGTCTGTACCTCTGTGTGTGTATATTGTGTAGGCTGCCTCCCTCCCCTCTCTCTCCTTCCATCCCTCTCTCTCTCTCTCTCTCTCTCTCTCTCTCTCTCCTTCACCCCAACCGGTCAAGGCAGATGGCCGCCCACCCTGAGCCATGGTTCTGCTCGAGGTTTCTGCCTCTTAAAAGGAAGTTTTTCCTTGCCTCTGTCGCCTAGTGCTGCTCTTGGTGGGAACTGTTGGGCTTCTGTAAATAGCATCACAGAGTACGGTCTAGACCTGCTCTTTTATGAAAAGCGCTGTGAGATAACTGTTGTTGTGATTTGGCGCTATATAAATAAAATTGAATTGGATTGAAAAATCAGAGCTATCTCCTGTCACTACCAGTGTTCCTCAGGGCTCTGTCCCTTCTGTTCATCATCTATCTGCTTCCTCTTGGCCATATCTTTCATAAATTTAACATCCCTTTCCACTGCTATGCAGATGACACCCAGCTCTACGGAAATCAAATTCTGGTTCTCTTGCAACTTCCTTAAACTTAGTGACAAATGTGACAAGGCTATTCACAACCTCGCTCCTCGGTACCCTGATTTTATGCACTGTAATTATAGTTGTTAATTTTATCGATTTATTGCTGTACTGTTTTATTATGTTTTGTGAGGTGACCTTGAGTGTTCAGAAAAGCGCCTATAAAAAAATGTTGTATTATTATCATTATTACTTATTATCAGAATTTGCAGTAAAAAACATCACACTTTTATCTTTAGTACTGAAACCTGCCTGTTGCCATGGTTCATCAGTGATGCCTGTCTGTTGCCATGGTAACTTAGCTCAGGGAGGGAAGTGAAACCAGTTTCAAGTCCAGTTTCATCCAATCAGAGGAAGACCAATAGAACCAGCAGCCTCCTCTGCTGCAACCAGCAGGACGTTTTCCATCTTCACTTTGTTTTAATCAGGCTCAGTCCCTGTTTGTCCAAAATGTATCTCAATATCTGCAGACATCAGAGGACAAACATCTTTATATTTATATTATATATATTTATTTATCTGTACAACAATTAGTGTCTTTGCCATCTTTACCTCTGCGCAAAAACTCAGTCCTCATGAAGTCTGTTAAGTTTGTAACTTCATTTGTCTCTGTCTCTAGTCACCTGCACCAGCCATCGGGTTGTGATCTCTGGACCCAATCCTCGTCCCCCTGCCTGCCCTTCAGCCTCCACCTCTCAGACCTCAGCTCAAGTTCTCTGCCTGCCTGCTGCCCTTCCCGACTGTGCTTACCATCCACCTCTGTTCACACTAATAAACATCCTAAACTGTTCTCTGGTCTGCTTCTGGGTTCTGTTTAGGAAATCTTGACAATGTCACCATCAGTAATGGTGTGTGTGTGTGGTAAGTGTTGTGGTTCCGAACGATAATGCTGCGATGATGTGTTGAGAAGAAATCCGCTTGACACTGTTCTTGGTTATAAAAGTTTATTACATCAAAGAATTCAGCATCAATTACAAGCTCTGCAGCAGCTTGGAGAGTGACCCAGCCCGATGACCACTCTGTCTCTCTGTACATCGAACACAGCTTATATAGGACATGTTTAGGTCTCTGCTAAAAACCATATAAGGGCACGGTGCTGTAGAATAAGTGTAACTATCTATTAGACACCACAGAAGGGTACAGTCCCTTCATACACACTAATCTCTTTATACACACTAATCTCTTTATACCTAATTTCTACTTCCCCTAACACTGCACCTATCAATCATTACTTCCCCATAAGGGTTCACTGTCCCTCTCACCAGCTGCAGAACATTATGTTAAACTGTAATGGCCAGATGCACATATGTTATACACCACAGTGTAATATAATAGCAACAACAATAATGTATTTAATCAAATAATTTTTGTAGAAAAGTAAAAATGTTGAGATTTAAAATGTGTCTTGATTAAAAAACTATAAATAATTATGAGAAGGGCCCTTTTTTCCCCACTTGATCCTCTGCCCACCTGTGCATGTCCCTGTACGTTCAGATATGTGCTTTGATATCGACAGTATGATGTGTCAGACGCATCAGACAGGAGTCCAAGAGAAACTGACTGTTTTCCAACTTATCTTGTGAACCTAACCTCCTGCTGAGGAGGTCAGGTTCACAGCATCAGGTGCCGGAGTTACTGATCCAGGGTTTATCTGATCTCACTCTCTGAAACAGAAAACCCAGAGTTTCCCTCATCTCAGGGTCAACATATTTTCACTAATCCTGCTTTCTGAAACAGGTTGTTGGGCCCCGTGTTTCAGACGTCTGTGAGTTGTTAGCAGTTCCATAAAAGACATTTCGCCTCATAACTTCACACATGGTTTGATTTCAAAAACTGTTTGAGCCAACTTTGTTTCTTCTTCTTTCATCTTCCATTAATCATCTCACGACCCCTCAGATTTATCTTGGGAGGCAAATATGGTTCTTTTAACTTTAGATTTATCTGACAGTCACAGTTCATTTTCATTAGATTTTGTATGATTAACTGCACAAATTAAAATACCTTACACAGCATATTAACTTGTTAAACTTTGCTCCACTTCCACCAGTTGTGACACTAAAATGCTGCAGTAACAATATTTCAACACTCTGGAAGGAGCCATTCTGCCCAAATTAGTACTTTTGGATTAACTAGATTTAGCTGATGATGCCGGAGTGAACATTTAAAAACATATACAAAACAAATACAACTTTTACTTGTACCAGAGGATTTTCAAGAGTAATATTAGTATTATTATTAAATATTATAATAATGGTGATGTTTTGACAGTTCTTCTTCACCTTGAACAATATTGACCGAGAGTATTGACTCTTGGAGGATAAAAACCCACATATACAGACGTGTGGTGCTGGACTCACAATTTAAAGGGCTGTTTGAGGTTAGGACTTGATGATTAGTTGTCATAGTTAAGGTTAGGGTAAAGGGCTAGAGAATGCATTATGTGAATGACTTTCCCCCAAGACCATGGTGCCATAACGGGGTGTGTGTGTGTGTGTGTGTGTGTGTGTGTGTGTGTGTGTGTGTGTGTCCTCAGTGAACTGTATCAGTCTCTGCAGTAGCTTCCAGCTGCAGCAGTCAGTTCAGTTTCTGTTCAGTCTGACTGAAGGAGGTTTTTGTACGACACTTTTTCACTGTGTGAACACAGCTTGACTGTTGATCCAATGATAACTCTGACAGTAGTAAACTGCTGCATCTTCAGCCTGAACTCCACTGATGGTCAGAGTGAAGTCAACTCCATTCCCTGCTCCACTTCCACTGAATCTGGAGGAGATTCCAGAATATCTGCTTGATGTTAAATAGATCAGAAGTTTTGGAGCTTCTCCAGTTTTCTGATGGTACCAGGCCAGGAAATATTGTGAACCAGTGTAGTGACGAGCTGCTGGACTGGCCTTACAGTCAATAGAGACAGTCTGACCCAGTTGCACTGATTTGGCTGCTGGCTGAGTCAAGACAACATTTTGTCCAACAGACCCTGAGGAGAGAGAAGAAACACTGGACATGAGATGGTGAGGTGAAACTCAGCTACACTCCAAATGATTTTCACATCACAGAAAAATGATTTTCCTCACCCTGAGTGAAGCAGAGGAGAGTCCAGATGAGGACGGAGACCAAAGTCATGTTTTTGATGAGGAGGATTTCTGTGGCTTCTGTTGTCATGAAGGACAGCTGTCAGTCATCCAGTGTTCAACTCTCAGGACTATAAAGTCTCCCAGAGCACTGGAGCATGGTGCTGCTGATGCAAAGTGGCTCTCTATGGAAATGCTCTGACTGACTCCAACAGGGACTTGGATTACTCTGATGATGCTGCTTCTCAATGGATCAATACGTTTACCAGAGGATTGATTAGGAATGTGTCAGTGATCATTTTTATGGACATTTGCTTTGATGACTGCAGAAAGATTTTCTTTTACAACATCTTCTGTCTGCTTTCATTTCATTCTAGAGGGATCAATTTGACTTTCACACCAATGGAACAATATATACGTAAAAATGGGATTCATTCTGAACAACTGTGTCACTGTTTGATAAATATAACATGAAATAGTTCATTCTTTTAAAAACAGCAAGTGTTTTTGTTGAGTTTGTTGTGTTCAAAGTCAGAGAGCCGTGTCTCTCTACAGTGAGAGGTTTTTGTACGACGACTCAATCAGTTTGTATCACTGTGGTGGACTTTTGGTGGAGGAACCAGACTGGAGTTTGGAAGTAAGTTTCTGCACAAATATTAAATATCGTATCATCAGTGAAGGTTTTAATTTCTGTGTCTGAACATTTGTAGTAGATATAAATTTCCTCTGGACTGATCTAAATCACTTTAAAGACTCAATCTTATTGTTCGTTTCTCCTGTTTAACCATGAAGCTGAACTCAAAGCAGCTTTACTGAACTTCTCTTTAAACGTTCCATTTAATTTGTGAAATGTGAACAGCTTGAACTGCAGCAAAGATTAAAGAACAACACTCGTTAAAAATTATTCAGCCTTTAATTCTGCATTTTAAACTGTTTAGAAGTTGAGTTAAAATTATTTTGAATAGTGTGAATGAAGATAAAAATGTTTCCAAATCTCTGATCTTCTAAAATGGCTCAAATTGTCTTTTTAACCTCAGTTTGAAATAATGTTGACAGTTCTCTGATGCTGTTTTTAAATCCGTCTGAGGAACAGGTTGCCTGTGGTCGTCAGGTATTCTGGGCTGATAATGTCCTTTAACAGTGGATCTCAGTAACTTTTACCCTTTTGAGAGTTTTGACAGTAAATATGTTTTTTGTATTTCCAAATTTAAAACCTGGTTGTTTTATTTCCAGTGCAGTTTGATATCTTTCAGCTCATATGAGGACTCTTTCTGTGCTGATATGCATGAGAGGTTTCTTAAAGGAAGTGAAACAATGTGTGAGTGAGTGACTGGTGGAGCAGAAACCAGCTGTGTGGTCCCCGTCCTCTAAGGTGATTGGTTCTTCTCCTAGGTGATGCCCGTCCCACCCTGACGGTGCTGCCCCCCTCCAGCGAGGAGCTGCAGCAGGGGAAGGCCACGCTCATGTGCCTGGCCAACAAGGGCTTCCCCTCAGACTGGAGTCTGGCCTGGAAGGTGGACGGCAGCAGCAGCAGCAGCAGCAGCAGCTGGGAGGAGAGCAGGAGCCCCGGGGTGCTGCAGAAGGACGGCCACTACAGCTGGAGCAGCACCCTGAGGCTCTCTGCAGACCAGTGGAGGAAGGTGGGCTCTGTGACCTGTGAGGCCACCCAGGGCTCCCAGACTCCGCTCTCAGAGACACTGAGGAGAGACCAGTGTTCCCAGTCCTGACCTGACTCACTGGGACTCTGCTACTGGTTTTCCTCTGCTCCTGCTCTCACTCTGCACTCTGGAACTGTCTCTCTCTTTTATTTGACATCTTTCAACAGCAAGATTTACTAGCTTGTTGCACTGTTTCAATATTATTTCAGTGTTTCCAGATAATAAAGACCTTTTCATCCAATCAGCTGTTTTCATGTTTATTATTATCAAAGTGTCTTAATAAATGTTCTCTTGATGGTGTCAGTGACTGTATTACATCCAGAGAACAACAGTTTAACGTCATAATAGATTTCTAAAGTTACAGAATATTCAGAGTTTACAAACTCAGACAAAACTCCTCATTATGTTTTGGTTACTACAAAACAGTGATGGTAGAAGAAGTCCATCATTTTTCATTCATTATGAATGCGTTGATGAATACTGTCGTCATTCCAGATTACTCTGCAGTAATAAACATTTGGAACAAACCCATGGTAGGTACATTTGAAAATCTGACTTAAGGTTAATAACTTTAATATTTTTATTGCGTAGGTGAATCCAAGAACATTATTATATGAAAAAAATATTTTACCAAAACAAAAGCACAACATTAGTGTAATCTGCTATTCTAACCAGGAGCTATTTACATACTGATTCTGCTGAAGAACCAAAAATAAAAGATGAGAAAAGGAAAGAATTCAAATGTTACTGATTTACTTTCTCCATAAACCCTTTTAGATATCAATCATTAAATGCATTTTTGTTTTGGAAAACAAAACACACAGAATAACTGAAATATGTCATAGACATTATTTTTAATTTGACAACATGAACAAATTTAGATGTTGAGATTAAATGTATTTTATATCAGCAATGTGTTTGATCAAGTTTGTATATAAAATGTAAGATATGGAAAAAGTAAAATGTAAAAATGTAAAAAGTTTTTTTTTAGTTCATAGATTAAATTTATCAAAGTTATTGATGTAATTTAAATGAGAATATTAAAAGTATATGTTTGGATTAAATACTAAATGTTTTCTTACAACGTTCAAAATGAATTGATTTGAAATTTTTTTATAAACATGTTATTTTAGTTTCAGTGCAGCTGTTAAGTCAGATCAGTTCCTCTCCAGCTGAGGGAGGTTTTTGTACGACGTTGTATCACTGTGTGAGTGGATAGCTTTGATATTGCTGACAGTAGTAAACTCCTGAATCTTCAGCCTGAACTCCACTGATGGTCAGAGTGAAGTCAGTCCCAGATCCACTTCCACTAAAACGATCTGGAACTCCAGACTGACGAGTTGTAGCTCCATAAATCAGGAGTTTAGGAGCTTCTCCAGGTTTCTGAAGGTACCAGCTGAGGTAGCTGTAACCAGAACTAGTAACACTTGTACTGGTTTTACATTTGAGAGCGACAGCCTGTCCTGGAACAGCAGACTGAGATCCAGGAGACTGAGTCAGGATGATTTGTCCTGATGAACCTGGAAAAGATGAAAAAGAGGAGAAGGGTTATTGAGACAAATCCAGCTTGGAGAAAGATGATCAGCATCCAAACAGAAGAGTCTCATTTCTTTAAGATGGAGAACAGATGGAAGAAGGTAAATGCTGCTTGTTTCAGTGTTTCTCCATCACAGCAGAACATCATTGTGGTGAAGCTGGTTGCATCCTGAAGCAAAGTTTTCAGAAGAGCGTCTCACCCTGAACAAGGAGCCCCAGGGTGGCCAGCAGTAGAATCAGTGACATCATCATTGTGCTGCCGGCGTGTCAGTGGCTCTGAAAGGCCTGGACAGCCACTGATCAACACTGGCCTCTTAACGGCTGGGAGCAGAGAGGCAGGACAGATATGCAAACACACAGAGTCAGTGAACTGTAGCTGTCCTCAACATATCATGCTGTTTCCTCCTCACTGCTGGGACAGCTGCCTGTTTAAACCATCCGACTGTAACTGAAAATTAACTTTTTTAAGTAAAAATCTTCTAACCAAAGTAACCTAACTAATTAAAGCCTCTTTTTTAATAAAAGATCTGGCCAAGAGGGCATCATGAAAACAGCATTAGCAAAACACAAGACCAAACATTATTAATTTCACTTTAGACATTAAGTCGAATAAATTAGTAAGCGTCTACATAGGCTGCAGAGATATGTTGCCCTCTGTGTCACAGTGTTAAACTGGTTCCGTCTTTATATGTCAGGCAGACATGATGTTGTCTCACTTGTTTAATATTCATTTAATTGTTTGGACATTACAGTTACATTTCAACTACATTTTTACACCCTTACAACTTCATAAAATGAAATTACATTACATACACTTAAAGAGGTGGTATTATGCTTTTTGGCTTTTCCCCTCTCCTTTATTGAGTTATATATCTTTTTTGTGCATGTAACAGGTTTGCAAAGTGAAAAAGCCCAAAGTCCAGCCCAAAGGGAGTTCCCATCTCCCACAGAAATCTCTGCTGTGAAGTCACAGGGATGAAAGCCAAATGCGCCTCATATAAGCGGCTACTCCGACATGCCCTTAAAAAACAGCGGTGGAAAAACAATGAGCTGCAGCACACACCTCTCCTCTCCCTTCCAAACACTAGCTACCCTCCAGGCAGACAGTGGACATAAAGTTGTTCCTGTGATGTAGAGACAGAGCTCAGTTAAAACTTTATAGATGAAAGATACTTTTGTTACAGATTAATAACTCACCACTCTGAAACTCTTGCTCCAGCCCATGTTGCCAAGCTGGTCGGCAACATGTATAACTGACCCACCCTTCTTTGTTTCTGATTGGCTAGTAGTGTTTAACTAGGAACTGTGCATGTACAACTCTCAACAAAGATCATTTAGAGACTAGAACGAAGCCTCCAACACAGGCTGAAAAGAGGAGGTTCAGCAATGTGCAGTATGACAAACAATATGGTGTTTTTTGAAAATTAAACCACGTAAACCTGTTCTGGTACAACCTCTAAATAAAATTTTGAACCAGAAAGTGAGCATAATACCACCTCTTTAATGCTCCAAAACCCAACTTTCTCTTATACAATACATTTCATACAATCAGGTGTTTTCCTGCACTGAGGTTTCTGGGACGTTCTAACTAAAACTGGATCAAACTGATTTTTCATGGCACCAAACGCTCATTAAATCACTTATTTTTGCACTATTTAAACTTTTGCTGATGTTTTCTACACTTTTTACAGTCATGATGATGCTAACACTGCCTCAACTCCTACATGCACCTGGGTTCTACAAAAGGCACTCAGGAATGTGGGCTCATTAATATAGAGAGTGAGTGGATAATAAATGTATGAGGCACATTATACAGCGGGAGTGGCCAAACCTTAAACCTTTAAAACACATTAAAACATAATGTACAGTTTTTTTTAAAGCATACATAGAGAGACTGGCCCAAGAGGTTTATGGTTTAAACAAGAGCTTTGTTATGAACGGCTACACAGTTTTTGTCATGAAAATGGGAACAAATAGTAAGTTACAAGTTCATAAAATATCTATATTTCTTAAATATTCAGATCAATTTATCTTCAGTTTTGACCTGAAACATTAACATGTCAGTGTCAGAGACGGGCTGAAGCACTGAAGCAAATTAAAGTGGTGACATTTTTGGAGTACTCGGTTAATATCAAAATCAAAGAAACTAAAAGGAAATAAATTAGAACAATGTCAGGTTGAATGCTGTAAGAGAACATTTAAAATAATTCAATTTGGGCCTGATAACTATTGGGTCAGAATCAGGTAAAAGCCAGAAAAAAAAAAAGGTAGATCTTTAAATTAGATTTGAAGATCTCAGTGGTGGGGCGTGACTTAATGTTTGACGGAAGACGATTCCTTAGCCTGGAGGCAGCAACAGAAAAAGCCTGGTCACCTTTAGTTGTAAGTGAGTTGTTTTGAGGATGACCTAAGTGACCTAGGCGCAGAATATGTAATTAGCATATCATTAATAAACACAAGAACTGCTTACTGCTCATCTGTGTCCTGCATTTGGTTCCTAACCTGCCTCTGCACGCGGCCAGTCCTGACAATGTATTGTGGAGCTAAACTATAGAGGGCTTTAAAAACAAATAACATTTTGTGTGCATCTGGTATGTAAAACTGTGTCATCCGCATAACAGTGATACAAAACATTGTTTTTCTGAAAGATAGTGCCAAGGGGAAGCATGTATAGCCAGAATAAGAGAGGGCCTAAAACTGAGCCTTAAGGGATGCCACATTTAATAGCAGTAAAAATGATTTCTCTCAGGTAGGAGGTAAACCATTTTAACACAGCGCCCTATAGACCAACTTTGTCCTCCAGGCGTTTGAATAGAATTCCATCTTCGACTCTGTCCTAAGCTAAGATCAAGCAGGACTAAAATGGCACTAGAATCAGAGATGACGGAGAGAAGGATGTCATTATGTACCTTAACAGGGCAGATTCAGTACTATGAAGTTCTCTAAAACCAGACTGGAATTTGTCAAAGATGTTTGACGTGTTCAAGTACGAGGAGGACCACTTTTTCTAAAACGCTGGAAATAAATGGTAGCTTGGAGATGAGCCTGTAGTTTTTGTCATTGGAGTCAAGGCTAAGTTTCCTTAAAAGGGATTGCAGAATTGCATGTTTGAAACTGGAGGGAATGACACCCTTGGTTAAGGAACTGCTAATTATCACCTCAATAAGACGGCAAATAAGGGACACGTCTAAGTAGACTGCAGAGATATGTTGCCCTCACTGTCACAGTGTTAAACTGGTTCAGTCCTTATCTGTCAGGCAGACATGATGTTGTCTCACTTGGTCACATTCATCATCTACTGTCAGTTAAATTCTAGGTGTCCCGCAAGACTCAATCTCTGCTGACTTTACATGCTGCATTTGCTTAATAGCAAGGGACATGGAATTCATTTGTATATGTATGTAGGTAATAAACACCTGTGCATTTTTATCACAAAATTACCTGTGCCTGGTCAATAAACATGTAAATTTCTATGTTAATACATATTTGGCACAAATTCCAGCAGCTGAACAGAGATGAGACTGAGAAAGTTGAGATTCCTCTATATTCATAAACCACCATGATGGGAAATTTTTATCAGGTGTGAGTAACAGTGAGTGAGTAAAGGGAAGTGTAAAATACTTTCCACCTAGAGACACAAAACTTATTACATGTATGAGCTGTAAAATGATTGACTATGAAAGATGGTTTTGAAGTAAAACATTATCTGATTAACTAATGTTATGATGATATTGATACTGAACATTAGAAGTGACTAAATCAATTTTAATCATTGAGTGTATTTTTCTTTCTTAATTTAAGAGTGAAATCCTAAAACCTAATTTAAAGTACAAGTTGTAGACACTTCGATTGTTTCTTCATCAAGGCAATAATTTACTAGGTATAGTGTATTCAACATCTTTAAAGTTTCTTATGAGTTGCTCCAGCCAAATAAATTAACATATCCTCGTGGCCTATTTTCCTGGCCATTAAATATTGTCATAGCAACCATACCAAGTGCACTGAACAATGACAAGAGAGCTACCATTAATGGGCATGGGTATTTGGCTTTAGGGATATTTGGTCAGGTGCTGTTTCAGATTAAACAGGAAAGGCATCCAGATGAAGACAGTGAGAAGCTAGGCTAGTCTCCTCACAACCAGCTTAAACACTTCCCAGTTATACCTAAAGGTTAATACCCCTAGGCCTGAGGATCTGACCCTTTTACCAGTGATCTGGAGCAGTACCTCCTGGACAGGGGTAACTTGGGATCTAACAGACTAAAGTCCTGATTGTTGGAGCACCTTACATTCTCAGACACTAAATATAAAGACCAGTGCTGACGATCTTGATATGATGTGAGGTCTTCACAGATCCTGAAGAACTGAGATCTGACCCGGAGCCCAAGTCATACTGGGTTCCTCTTTCATACTAATTTGGTCTTATCAGGTCAGGTAGTGTCATGTTTTACTGCCAAATGTTTCAGGTCTGTGTGTCTAATACCCGAGTGGATCTGCATGAATCGAGACGGTGTAATAAGAGCAGCGTAGCTCCTTTAAGGAAGAGCTCAGTGTGAAGAGAATGAATCTGATTCACATTGAATTGCTTCAAATATCATTATCTTCTGTCAATCTGTTTGTCCAGGAGGTGAAAACAGGGTTTTGAATATATATTTTTTGTCATTAGTTTCTCTTTGTTGGTAATTTGTATTTTTAGGCTAAATTATTTTTAGCCTAATAATGTGTCCAAACCAAAATGTAATTCTGCCCTTAGACAGTCACAGGTTGTTCAGTGACATGTACTGTATGACCTGTGGCCCAGAATGCATTATGTTTCTGAGCGTCAGTGTTTCTGCCACAGAAAACATTTGTTGCATTGCAGATATGGAGCTTCAGTGTCCTGAGATTTGAGTGTGATGTGTGGACGTTGATGTTTGATATATTCTGAATTTGTTTTGTGTCTCTACATCAGTGGAGCTGACTCTGCTGCTGTTGTGGTTTTAATGGTCTGACTGGGCTTCTTCACTGGAACTGTTCTCTTCATCTGAGGAAACTTTCAGCTTGTTGAGGAGGACTGTTTGAACTTCAGGAGGAAAACTGGTGGAGACGCAATGAGCATCAGAAATCATCTGTGTGTGTGTGTGTGTGTGTGTGTGTGTCCTCAGTGAACTGTATCAGTCTCTGCAGTAGCTTCCAGCTGCAGCAGTCAGTTCAGTTTCTGTTCAGTCTGACTGAGGGAGGTTTTTGTACGACGCTTTTTCACTGTGGGAACTCGTTGGTCACAGAGAACCAATGTGTGATCCTATGAAAACTCTGACAGTAGTAAACTGCTGCATCTTCAGCCTGAACTCCACTGATGGTCAGAGTGAAGTCCACTCCATTCCCTGCTCCACTTCCACTGAATCTGGAGGAGATTCCAGAATATCTGTCTGATGTTCTGTAGATCAGAAGTTTAGGAGCTTCTCCAGTTTTCTGATGGTACCAGGACAGGTAGTATTGTGAACCAGAGTACTGAGCAACTGTTGGACTGGCCTTACAGTCAATAGAGACAGTCTGACCCAGCTGCACTGATTTGGCTGCTGGCTGAGTCACGACAACATTTTGTCCAACAGACCCTGAGGAGAGAGAAGAAACACTGGACATGAGATGGTGAGGTGAAACTCAGCTACACTCCAAATGATTTTCCTCACCCTGAGTGAAGCAGAGGAGAGTCCAGATGAGTACGGAGACCAAAGTCATGTTTTTGATGAGGAGGATTTCTGTGGCTTCTGTTGTCATGAAGGACAGCTGTCAGTCATCCAGTGTTCAACTCTCAGGACTATAAAGTCTCCCAGAGCACTGGAGCATGGTGCTGCTGATGCAAAGTGGCTCTCTATGGAAATGCTCTGACTGACTCCAACAGGGACTTGGATTACTCTGATGATGCTGCTTCTCAATGGATCAATACGTTTACCAGAGGATTGATTAGGAATGTGATCATTTTTATAGACATTTGCTTTGATGACTGCAGAAAGATTTTCTTTTACAACATCTTCTGTCTGCTTTCATTTCATTCTAGAGGGATCAATTTGACTTTCAGACCAATGGAACAATATATACGTAAAAATGGGATTCATTCTGAACAACTGTGTCACTGTTTGATAAATATAACATGAAATAGTGAATTCTTTTAAAAACAGCAAGTGTTTTTGTTGAGTTTGTTGTGTTCAAAGTCAGAGAGCCGTGTCTCTCTACAGTGAGAGGTTTTTGTACGACGACTTATTTTGAGCTAATAATGTCGTAAATATGTTTTGTAATTTTTCCAAATTTAAAACCTGGTTGTTTTATTTCCAGTGCAGTTTGATATCTTTCAGCTCATATGAGGACTCTTTCTGTGCTGATATGCATGAGAGGTTTCTTAAAGGAAGTGAAACAATGTGTGAGTGACTGGTGGAGCAGAAACCAGCTGTGTGGTCCCCGTCCTCTAAGCCGATTGGTTCTTCTCCTAGGTGATGCCCGTCCCACCCTGACGGTGCTGCCCCCCTCCAGCGAGGAGCTGCAGCAGGGGAAGGCCACGCTCATGTGCCTGGCCAACAAGGGCTTCCCCTCAGACTGGAGTCTGGCCTGGAAGGTGGACGGCAGCAGCAGCAGCAGCAGCAGCAGCAGCAGCTGGGAGGAGAGCAGGAGCCCCGGGGTGCTGCAGAAGGACGGCCACTACAGCTGGAGCAGCACCCTGAGGCTCTCTGCAGACCAGTGGAGGAAGGTGGGCTCTGTGACCTGTGAGGCCACCCAGGGCTCCCAGACTCCGCTCTCAGAGACACTGAGGAGAGACCAGTGTTCCCAGTCCTGACCTGACTCACTGGGACTCTGCTACTGGTTTTCCTCTGCTCCTGCTCTCACTCTGCACTCTGGAACTGTCTCTCTCTTTTATTTCACATCTTTCAACAGCAAGATTTACTAGCTTGTTGCACTGTTTCAATATTATTTCAGTGTTTCCAGATAATAAAGACCTTTTCATCCAATCAGCTGTTTTCATGTTTATTATCATCAAAGTGTCTTAATAAATGTTCTCTTGATGGTGTCAGTGACTGTTTTATATCCAGAGAAACTCTGAGCTGACACAAATGTTCCTCCATGAAGATTTTTAAATGAATGTGTAACATTATGTAGTGTATTGCCATATATACTATATTTTAGGAGAGTATATATACTCAGCAAAAACCGGCCATTTTAGTTTCATTGGTACAAACCAGTGATGGTAGCAGGATAAAGCCATCAGTTGCTCAGAGTTGCCAGTATGAGGGAGTGTACTGTTCCGTAGTATCATTGAACCCATCCTCTTGTACTGTGCTACCTGCTACTTCACCGTGCTCTCTCTCACCAATAGGAATAAGTTTCTTAAAATCACTAACAACTCCTACAAAACAATAAGTCTTCCTGCTCCCAACCTGCCAGCCCTCATTAATACTGCCACTACTCGTAGAGCAACTACCATAGTACAAAATCCGAGCCACCCTCTAAAGTCGAGCTTAACCCTTCTCCCATCTGGCCGTAGATACAGACGGCTGCTCTACAAAAAGGCACGCTTTGGAAAACGTTTTGTACCCTGCGCTATAAGAGCTTTAAACTCACAGAAAACTCACTCCTGTGTTATATATGTAGATATGTGTATATTGTCTATGTGTCTGTACTATGTGTAGTTTGTGTGCAGAATTCATGTTGAAGGTGCTCTTTGTACAGATTTCCTCCACTGAGGAAAATAAAGAATGAATCTGAATGTGTAACATCATGTAGTGTATTGCCATATATCCTGTATATTAGGAGAGAAACCCGCCATTTCAGTTTGATTAGTGCAAACCAGTGATGGTAGGAGTTTAAAGGCCATCAGTTCAGTCAGTCTGAAGGACTTCTTGACTGTAAAACTTTTTCTGCTGTTGTCATTACAGATTTGTCTGAAATAATAAACCTTTGGAATAAAACACATGGTAGAAACATTTCAATCATAAATAACATCTGTTTAAACTAAATAGTCATAATATTAACGACAAATCATACATATACAATTACTTATTAAATACATTTTTAAAAAGCTGTTTTAAGAAAAGTATTAAAAAATATATTTTGTGTTGTAATTAATTAATTTTAAGCTTCTTTTTTTCCAGAAAACTCCTGTTGTTTTAGTTTCAGTGCAGCTGTTGAGTCAGATCAGTTCCTCTCCAGCTGAGGGAGGTTTTTGTACGACGTTGTATCACTGTGTGAACGGGAAGCTGCCACCCTGCTGACAGTAGTAAACTCCTGAATCTTCAGCCTGAACTCCACTGATGGTCAGAGTGAAGTCAGTCCCAGATCCACTTCCACTAAAACGATCTGGAACTCCAGACTGACGAGTTGTAGCTGCATAAATCAGGAGTTTAGGAGCTTCTCCAGGTTTCTGAAGGTACCACTGGAGCCAGCTAACACTTGTACTGGTTTTACATTTGAGAGAGACAGCCTGTCCTGGAACAACAGACTGAGATCCAGGAGACTGAGTCAGGACGTTTTGTCCTGATGAACCTGGAAAAGATGAAAAAGAGGAGAAGGGTTATTGAGACAAATCCAGCTTGGAGAAAGATGATCAGCATCCAAACAGAAGAGTCTCATTTCTTTAAGATGGAGAACAGATGGAAGAAGGTAAATGCTGCTTGTTTCAGTGTTTCTCCATCACAGCAGAACATCATTGTGGTGAACCTGGTTGCATCCTGAAGCAAAGTTTTCAGAAGAGAGTCTCACCCTGAACAAGGAGCCCCAGGGTGGCCAGCAGTAGAATCAGTGACATCATCATTGTGCTGCCGGCGTGTCAGTGGCTCTGAAAGGCCTGGACAGCCACTGATCAACACTGGCCTCTTAACGGCTGGGAGCAGAGAGGCAGGACAGATATGCAAACACACAGAGTCAGTGAACTGTAGCTGTCCTCAACATATCATGCTGTTTCCTCCTCACTGCTGGGACAGCTGCCTGTTTAAAACATCCTCATGCAGATTAACCCAAACACAGTATTCTATACAGTAACTGACAAGTAATCTTTTTAAACAAGGAAATGATTTTGTTCATCATTCAATTAACAGATTAACTAAGACTTATAATTATAATACTGTCAGGTTGAAATGGTGCAAGAGAACGATTAAAATAATTCTATGTGGGCCTGATAAAGACTATTGGGTCAGAATCAGGTAAAAAAAAACCAAAAAAAAAGGTAGATATTTAAATTAGATTTGAAGATCTCCATGGTGGGGCAGGACTTAACGTTTGACGGAAGACTATTCCAAAGCCTGGTCACCTTTAGTTGTAGTGACCCAGGCACAGAGTATGTACTTAGCATATCATTCATAAACACAAGAACTCCATCCTGCTCGTTTGGGTCTGCACTAACCTGCCTCTGCACTTGGGCAATCCTGACAATAATGTATTGTGGAGCTAAACTATTGAAGGCTTCAAAAACAAAATCATTTTGTGCATCTGGTATGTAAAACTGTGTGTCATCCGCATAACAGTGATACAAATCATTGTACTTCTGAAAGATAGTGCCAAGGGGAAGCATAAAACTGAGCCTTGAGGGATGCCACATTTAATAGCAGTAGTACCTGAGTAATTTCTCTCAGGTAGGGGGTAAACCAACACTGTGAGAAGGATGTCATTATGTACCTTAACAGGGCAGAGTCAGTAGTAGAAGTTCTCTAAAAACCAGTTTGGAATTTGTCAAAGATGTTTAATGTGTTCAAGTAGGAGGAGGACCACTTTTTCAAAAACGTTGGAAATAAATGGTAGCTTGGAGATGAGCCTGTAGTTTTTGTCACTGGAGTCAAGGGTAGGTTTCCATAAAAGGGGTTGCAGAATTGCATGTTTAAAACTGGAGGGAACAACACCCTTGGTTAAGGAACTGCTAATTATCACCTGAATAAGACTTGAGTCAAACGTCCTTGACTTGACAGAATATTGTCTAAGGGACAGTAGGGATTCATATGCATGACCACCTCCAGCAGCTGTGAAGATAGCACAGATGGAAACTGTTGTGTAAATTACAGTGAACCTCTACATAGACTGCAGAGATATGTTACCCTCTGTGTCACAGTGTTAAACTGATTCAGTCCTTATCTGTCAGGCAGACGTGATGTTGTCTCACTTGGTCACATTCATCAGCAACAGCCAGTTATAAACTCGGTGTCCCACAAGACTCAATCTCTGCTGACTTTACGTGCTGCATTTGCTTTATAGCAGGGGACATGGAATTCATTCACATTACACTTATTCATTTAGCTGACGCTTTTATCCAAAGCGAGTTACAATTGCTATATGGGTCAGAGGTCGCACACCTCTGGAGCAACTAACACTAAGTGTCTTGCTCAGGGACACACTGGTGGATGTGTCACAGTGGGGAACCTGGGTCTCTCACACCAAAGGCATGTGTCTTATCCACTGTTCCATCACCACCCCATATCATTTGTATATGTATGTAGATGATAAACACCTGTGCATTTTTTTAATCACAAAATTACCTCTGCCTGGTCAATAAACATGTACATTTCTATGTTAATTATACATATTTGTCACAAATTCCAGCAGCTGAACAGAGATGAGACTGAGAAAGTTGAGATTCCTCTATATGCATAAACCACCATGAAGGGAAATGGGACTTTTTATCAGGTTGCAAAACAGTTGGAGCCTTTTTCTTTTTGGTAACAACAGTGAGTGAGTAAAGGGAAGGGTAAAGTGCTTTCCATCTAGAGACACAGAACTTACATGTAAAAAGATTACCTATGAAAGACGACTTAGAAGTAAAACATTATGTGATTAACTAATGTTATGATGATATTGATATTGAACAATAGAATTGCCTAAATCAGTTTTAATCATTACGAGTGCATTTTTCTTGCTTAATTAAAAAAGTTGTAGACACTGAGATGTTTCTTTACCAAGGAAAGAATTTACTAGGTATAGTGTGTTTAACATCTTTAAAGGTTCTTAGTTCGGACGTGGCTGTTGTGGTATCTGGCTGTAGGGCTGTTCAGTCAGGTGCTATTTCAGAGTAAGCAGTATAGGCATCCTGATAGGGGTGCAACGGATCAAAAAACTCGGATCAGATTCACGGATCGGATCATTCTTCAGATCAGCAGAACAAATAAACATAAGTTTTGTCTTTTCATTTATTAACACTTTTTATATTTTTTTATTTAATAATTTAAATCAGCTTAAAGGGACATTATGTAGTTTCCAGCGTTTCCAGTGCAGTTTAAAGATTGCTACCAGGCGTGTGCTCGTACGCGTACTCGCTTGAACTCATGAGTGAGCATAATCCGAAACACAACCGCTTTCATATAGAAATCCTGCAATAAACGCAGGAACACCAGCATACAGGCTGTGGCTTTTCACTCAGACATGTTCAGGCTCTGTTACTTCAACGTTCCTGTCTCAGAGGCAGATCAACACCGGCGCCGTACGTTTCATTCAGCGCAGCGAGACACCGGCATATTGGCACAGTACTCCCTAAAAAAGGCAAAGTGACAGCGGCTATAGACAGGTAGGGAGACTGCTTCACACAACATGGTGGAAACTCAGGTAAACTCCCACTGCAACGTTACAGTAATATTTTTATCAGCTTGATGTTGAACTAATCCACGCTCGTTACATGATAAAGTTACAGTGACTGCATTTAGCCAACGTGCTACATCGTTAGCTCGGATGCTGCTTTCAGTAACTGTCTTAACTATCTGTGTATCTGTCACCGGAGGCTCAGCAATTTCAACACGGCTACATGTTTTGGACGATAATGAAACTTTTAGTGAGCTGGACTGAATATTATAACGAGATTGTGTCACACTTTATAGCAGTTAGACCACAGTAAGAAACTTTACTGTAGTGTTAGTGGATGGCTCTTCCACTGGGTTGTGTATTATGTGGGTCATGTTAGTTACAGCGACTGAGAGGTGGAGAAGCCGTGTACCTGAGTATCGGTAAAAGACAACAAATCTAAATTGAACGTTATGAA